ATGCAAAACAGCAACTATAACAAAAAAGAGGCAAAAAAAGTCTGTATGTGGTGGGGCCTTTTGCATATCTGTGCCCAGGGGCCCATTGTCTCATTATCCACCCATGGCTGAAACGATTAGTAAAACAGCAGAAAATTAATCAACATTTTTTACAACTAATGACCAGTAGTTATTTAAATTATTTATCAGGCAAAACAAAATGTTTTTTAAAAAAATTCCCGAATGTGCTGCTCAGATGTGAGGATCTCCTTCTTTTGTCAGTCTGATATTAATATAAAATGAATATTGTTAGGTTTTGGATTGTGGATGGGACAAAACGAGTTATTTCAAGGTGTCATTGTTGGCTCTGTGACATTGTAATGGTCATTTTGGTCATTCAACTAACCAAGCAGCAGCCTCCGGGTCTGAAAAATAAAGCCAACACGAAAGTCCCAAAGTGCTGTTGCACCTACTCCAGTAGCCAGTCAGTTCCCATAGACCCCCATATTAAAGCAGGCGAAATAAACGTGTTTATAGCCTGGTACAAAAATCAGTTTTGGTCTCTGTAGCTAGCTTTCCCCTTTCGTGATGACTGTACAGTGGTCAGTTTTTATACAGCCCTTAAATGTTTTTAAGGCTTAAAGTTACGCATAATTATGGGCGGGTCGCTTTGAGTGACAGGCTGTCTGCCAGTAGCGTCCTGGTCTTAGTCAGATCCATCCCTCGCCTCCTCACAGCACCAGCCTCTCACCCAAATATGGTGACTTCTGGCTCCAAAAAACCAAGATGGCGACAACCGAATGCCGAACACGAGGCTTCAGAGCAGGAATCCACAGACCACTGGATAGCATCAGTCAACAGCCTTAGGACTTAAACATTATCAAATTATGGTACATGTACCGCTGGTGGCATGCAAGCTCCCTCTAGTGGTAAGTGGAGGAATCTCCAAAATATTGTTAAGAAATAAACTTAAATATAAATAAAGTCATTAAAATATTACATTTCGAATGCATATAGTTAAACCATAAGATTCCTGATATGAGATTTAAAATAAAATTTGCCTTTCCACATTAATGTTTCGATACATAGCCATGTTCATGAACGTAGCGCACACACATCCGTGATTAGTTACGAGCTCAGCCGTGACGATGAGATAGTAAACGGAGGCTAAATGAATGGTTTAAAAACACAGCAAACGTGGCTCCAAACAGGAACTATTAGGAAGAGGAGTGCGGCTCAGGAGGAGAATATTTTGAGCAGCCCTGTTGAAAGTGAAGTGAGCGGCAATCAACCGAGCGCAACTGTTAATGGCTACTTAAGCAGCGCCAGTGAAGGCTCCACAGCACTAGATGATGTGTGGAACAGATGAAGTGCCAACTCTAATACTACCCCTTTGTACAGCGTGGCTGTGAACGACATCAGTCAACAATAAATAATCTTCTGATGAGAAATAAGCCTACCTCCTGCGAGAACTGTTCAAACCTTTAGGGGTAGGTAGTGGTGGGACTTAAGAGCCTACAGTTTTCTCAGATCGTGCATGGTGGAAAAGTTTGAGAACCACTGGGCTAAAGATCATTAGATTCATTATTAAAAGGAAAGGATTGATAATGAATTGTTACAGCCAGTGAATTGTAAAACATGAACAAACGCATCGCTGGTGAGTTAGCTGCATTTGCTGTACTGTCTCAGCAGCAACCAGCAACATTTTATCCATAAATACTATTGAGTGCTCAAAAACACACACACACACACACACACACACACACTTCCCTCTGCTCTTGCTTCCTTACATTCAGCTCCTCTCGCACGCTGCCATCCTCTCACCTATTTCTCAATGACTGCATCACTCTCCGACTCTTTACACGCCACTCGCATCCCGGATTCTCCTCGTGGCATGTTTTTATATTCAACACACCCTCTTTCTTCCACTTTCATCTTATGTCTATCTGCTTACCATTTTCTCTGTCCCACACCCATTGTACCACTTTATCTATCTCTGCCCCTCCGCTCTCTCCCCCATTTCAAACTTCCTCCCCTCCTCCTCCACCACCACCACCAACCCCCTCTCTAAATATAGTCCCTTTGAAGCATAGCTAGTGTTGTCTCTTCCCGCAACACTGCAAGACAAAAGTCTGTCATCTCACATCTGAGCAGCGGGGATAGAAAGCACAGATAAGATTGATGGCCCAAAAAGAACACTGGTTAAGAGAATTGATATTCATCTGCCTCAGCATGTGTGTAAAGGAAGAGAAGAGGGATGGAGGTGAGGAGGAGGAGGAGGAGAGGATCCAGAAAAAAGGAGCAGCAGGGAAGATGGCGAGACAGAAAGAGCGGGAGAGAGAGAAAGAGAGGGAGAGAGGTGTTGTGACATTTCTGATCCACATTTTGTAATTGAATAATAATCTCTCTGGAGGCCTGACCCAGTAACGTATGCACATGATTGTGTGAGCAGCTTTGTGCGTGTGTAGGCACAATGTGTACACAGTGAGGGATGGTTGTGTGTGCTCCTTTGTATAAGAGAAAATGTGTAAGAAAGAGGAGACGACCAGGAGAGAGGGAAAAATGAGTGCAGAGGAGAAAGAAAGAAATGTTTGCTCTTTAAGCACAAGACAGCACAATACCTCCACCTAGTGGTGCAAATGAGTTATTACAGCAGTACTTGGTGCATGTTACCACATCACTGCAGCCAAGGACAATTCCCATCTCATCAGCTCACCTGCAGGAGCCCTTCTAATGACTTCTACTTTGTCTAATTACAGATTGTGTAATTTACATAATAAGTATACTTAGTATTATAAACAGTGAAGATCACAGCGTGGTGGCTGAATGCAAAATCATATCACATCATCGTCTCAGTTGTTTGGTGAGGAGACTTGAATCAGCTGAAGGATTTTCTGTAGTCATGCACATCACACACACACACACATACACACACACACACACACACGCCCAACCTCAACGTGGCCTTCCTTACCTGCTAACAGCCTGCTCGTCCATCAGCGGCGGCTGCCAGGGGAGCTCGGGCCATCATATGTACTGTGTGCAGGCCGGTTCCCCTGCGGCCAGAGCATACATCGCCACTGACAGGATCTCCTTCCGCCTCAATGACCCGGCCTGTAGCTGGCTCAGGGGGAAAGACAGGAGTGCAGATTATCATTCTCAGCACCATTCTCAGCCCTCGCCACGAGGCATTTAGTGAGGAAATGTGTGTTTTTATATGCAGACGGGGGGAGAAAGGTGTAATAGTTCCTCTCTCTTGAAGAGAAGTGGGTGTTAATGTGCGCTGAGGGAAAAGTCTATAGCTCTCTGGCCTCTTTGTGTTGCTTTTACATTGAGTATTTGCTGCTTTTCTCTGTTTTATCTTGTAAATTAAATGTCTTTGGGTTTTTTGACTGTTTGAAGACATCTTCACAGGCTCTAGTTGGACTCTAATTGAGAGGTTAAAGGAATAGTTCAGCATCTTCATTGAAATGGCAATACGGCCAAGTGCAATATCTAAATGGCAGGAGGTGTCATTTTTTGATGAAGGTAAAATGTGTCACAGCATACTCAATATAAATGAGGCATCCTAAAAGCCTAAAAATGACATTGCAATTGCAATATCTGTCTAAATAATCCCAGTATGATTTTTTTTTTTTTTTTTTGCATATCAGGCAGCCCTAATTCTCACTGAGAGTTGTGGAAACTCAACAATACTTTTATATCTGTCTGTTCAATGTGAAGCTCCGGTCAGGACAGGATCAGCTTAGTTTAACACAAAGACTGAAAACAAAGTCGTGTCCAAAGTAACATTATCAATATCATTATTGATGCAGACTGATTCTGAATACTTGAAACCACTCATTTTCAGCGGTATTCATACACCGTTAGCAGATGTGCAACGATTAATCAATTAGTTGTCTGCTATTAGATTAATCGTCAACTAACTTAATAATCAATCAGTTGGTTTGAGTTATTATTTAAGGAAAAAAAAGTAAAAATTCTCTGATTCCAGCTTCTTAAATGTGAATATTTTATAAACTCATGATAACAAGACATTTTAGGAAATAAAAACTGATCCACATTATTTTTACTATCTGACATTTTAAAGACCAAACAACAAATTGATTAATTGAGAAAATAATCAACAGATTAATTGCAGTGACAGTAACTGTTTGCTGCCATAACCGGTACCAGCTGCGTTTTCTCGCTTTTCTCTCTTATTAATAATGTTTCGTACAGTCATTCTGCTGTTCTCTGCTACGAACCAGGATAAGTCATCATCGTCATGTTGTTGTTGTTGTTATATTTATCTTTTTCTAAAATTTTCTATTTTATGCCTTCATTGTCAATTTTTCCCGGTGGTACTGAAAATAGCATCAAATATTGACACTTTTCAAGGTTTGCGTTAGAAATTCCAGGATAGTGACAACACTCCAAAATTACAAAAATCCACCTAGAAGCACCTCTCAGTAACTGATATGTCATATCTGTTTGTTTGTTTATTTGGAAAGTGTAAAAATTATGTGCGTGACTATTTCTTGAGAAGTCATTTCCTGAGGTCCGGTTGCCTGGCAACCTCATGCAGGCGACAAGGCTCCAAATGTCTTTTCAGATCATGAAAACAATTCATTATTTGCAGCCAGTTTGTTTGTTTTAAAAAAACAAACAAACAAACAAACAAAAAACACCCATGTATACAGAGTTAAAGGACCCCCGGGTTCTGGGTTTTAGGACTCATCCCTGCAGCACTCTATAAAAACAAACAAACAAAAAAGAAGATTACCCAAGGTGTGTGTGGGTGCGCGGGCATGCCTGCGGTTTAAAGTTAAATTCTATAGCAAATGTTGAAAACAAACAATACTATAACTTCACATCTGTTTGAGCAGTTAAGTAATGAAAGGTTGCCATACACTGTCAAACTCAGGCCTTCCAGTGTTTAAAGTAGTTAAGTAAAGTAATAAAAGTCTTCTGGCTAAAATACTAATCCACATTTCTGTCCATCTTTTCTCCTCCTGTATCTGTCTGTCTTGTTCATCCAGGCTGCGGAGGGAGGGATTCACGGTGCAGGTCAGTGTCAATGACTACCTGGACATCTACTGCCCGCACTACAACACCAGCCAGAGGGGGACGTTAGAGCGCACTGTGGCTGAGCAGTACATCCTCTACATGGTCAGCTACCGCGGCTACCGCACCTGCGACCCCCAGCTGGGCTTCAAGCGCTGGGAGTGCAACAGGCCCCACGCGCCTCATGCTCCCATCAAGTTCTCGGAGAAGTTCCAGCGCTACAGCGCCTTCTCGCTGGGCTACGAGTTCAACGTGGGACAGGAGTACTACTATATCTGTGAGTCAGGCCAGTAAACGGTGGTTTATTGTGATGGATGGAAAAAGCCAAAGAGTGCTGAACATCCAATATTGTAATGTCTCCTCTTCAGTGGCTGTCACCCACATGTATTGATGGCATGTGGGTGTTGCTAATAGATCCTGGAAGTTCAGCTGAGGACGTTGCTCACTTGCAGAACTGCAGTTTGGATTTTTGAAGGTGGTGCAGCCTGCAGAGGGCACAAGGTTGACATGCTTTGTGTTTGCTCTCTGTCTTAGCCACGCCCACCCACCACCATGGCCACAGCTGCCTGAGACTGAGGGTCTACGTCTGCTGCTCCACCGGTGAGACCTAAGAATCCTGTCTTACCTAACCCCCCCCCCCCCCCCCCCCCCCCCCCCCCCCCCCCCCCCCCCCCCAATTCATTTCATAACATTTCCTCTCATTCTGTCACCTTATCTCCACTTTCCCTCTCCCCTCATATCTCTTTGTATCTCCCAAACACACAGAGAGACAGAGACAAAGAGAGAGAGAGAAACAGACAGAAAAACTAAGATCTGACAGTCTTGTCTCAGAGAGAGGCTTCTCTGCTGCGCGCTGTCTTGGCGACGTTTTGATGATGGCGTCTTTTCCCTCGAAGCAGCGCTTTGAGAGTGATGGCTTAATGTTATTCTCTGTCTCAGTGCTATTACAGTAATGCTCTATCTCTCTCTGTGAATGACATGCTCTCGTGAAGCCGCACAAAAGATGTTGAAAAAAATGATTCAGCTGCCAGATTTGGCTCTCTCGACCCTTCCACTCTCTCTCTGTCACTCCCCATCCCTTTCTTGACCATCTCTTTCCCCCTCTCCCCTCCCTCCTTCTCCCCCACTGTCTATCTCGTCTTCTCTCTCTCTGGTTCTCTGTTGCCTGCTGCCCTGTATAGTGTGTGTGTTATTTTTACCCTGGTAGCCTGCTCTCTCCCCTGCAGGCCTTTGATCAGGGAGCCCAGTGCTGAAAGCCTCCCCCTCTCCTCTAACCTTGTCAGCACTAATACATCCCACACTCAGGCCAGTGTCAGCCCCTGTGTACACATCACCTTAACACCCACCCCCCCATCCCGGTGTCACGGTTAATCTATTGATGTGTCTACCACGCCTCCATTTGCTTCTGTGTGTGTGTGTGTGTGTGTGTGTGTGTGTGTGCGTCGCTGTGTGTGTTCGAGGTGTAGGAGTTGGAGCATTTGTGTGTGTCTGCACATGGTAGTTTGTCGGCTGTAAATCTTTTTAATGTGTGTGTATGTGTGTGTGTGTGTGTGTGTGTGTGTGTGTGTGTGTGTGTGTGCATGAATGGCTATGTGCGCATTGGTGCATTTAGTCAGTTTACAACCCACAACCTTTACTCAGCAAGGTCATTTTAACAGCTTGCTATCAAAAAGCTGTTGATTTCAGCTGCCTGCAGACCGTTTTCATTTTTCTCCACGTCTCCCACCTTGACCGCTCTCAAGACTTTCAGATAAGAAAGAGAATATTCATGACATATGCTTTACATCTGCGAAAAAGCTGCAACTTGATTGCTACCAGCTTCTGTGTAAATTCTCTGTAAATGCTCATCATCCTCCTAACTGTTTGCAGAATCACAGGCTCACACAAAAACACATATTTAGTTACAAAAAGAAGAGGCAGAAAATACACAAAGACGTACAAACCCACACATCATTCATTCATGGATAATTTGGCAATGCAGACTGAATGTAATTCTATGTCTAGCCAGAGAGTAAATGTAAAAATGGTTTCTGTCCACCAGTTCCAAATGCTTTTAATCTTCAGATAGAAGTCTGAAATCTTAGTCCAGGATTTCTTCAAGCTTTCTTAGTGGCAAGGGCACACCAACTGCTCCATGCTCTGCTATATCTGTATACAATTTAGTGGTGCCTAAAATGCACATTTTACCCAGTCTTGTCATTTTAATGAGGTGTTCTCTCTCTCCCCCATCTCTCCTCCCTCACTCCACCGTCATTTCTCTCCTCTGCTTTTTCACTTCTCCCTCTTCTTTCTTTTTCTGTCTTTTTGTGTGTGTGTGTGTGTGTGTGTATGCGGTGTGTTTCTCAGTTTCCCAGGCAGATGATGACTCCAGTCAGACCTCTCCCGACTACACAGTCAGGCCAAACATCAAAATACACAACATTGGTGAGTGACGCTGAGTTGCTGAGAATGAACAGCAGCCAATTGCCAGATGCTGGTCAATATTTGGCTGTGGCTGCAAAGCTGGATTTGTGTACCAATCATTGTGGAAAGGAACCAACCATTTGTTAGTTTTTTATTCTATGGTTGGCAAGAGAAAATCCACAGGCCACAGCTGGTTGATGAGTAAAGTCTTTATTTTCTGCTCTGAGAATTGGGCAATATGGGTAACACAATAAACAATGAAACTTACGTGATTCAGCAGTACTGACATACACTCACATCCTTATTTACATACTGTGTTTATGGGCATCTGTGTAGGAACGCCAAAAAAGTGTACTTAACCCAACAGTAGACCCATGACATCTATTAGGCAACAGGTAATTCCACTTTATTACAGCTCAGTAGTGTTGTAGCCACGACCACCTAAAGTGAGATCAAGTCAAGACCAAGACCAGAGCCTATCGAGACCGAGACAAGACCAAGACTTTCAGGAGTTGAGACCAAGTTAAGACCAAGACAGAGACCAAGTCAAGAGTCACACACTGCATAAAACGCGATAAAATGTTCGACATGCAAACCAGAGGCCGTCCACCAATTGATTCTTAAGATGCACATTCCCATAAAAACACCCACAGAAAACAGATGAAGATTCCTCCCTATTCATCCTTTAAGTGTACCATTAAAAATGTCTTGATAAAATCATAATAAAGGCATTTCAGAGAGGAATTTTCTATGTGCAAACAAACACTTAGGAGCTGAAATCGACTTAAGCATCTTTATTCAACTGTCCTGTTTTGCATGGGCAATTTAGTTTTATCACCACAGTTGTGGTCTTGACTGATCTTAAAACAAATTCAGAGTTGTCTTTGTCTGAGACCGAGACAAGATCGAGTAAAAATGCAGTCGAGCCTGAAATGTTGAAAAAGTGGTCCTGAGATGAAGACTGATCTTGAGTAATGCAACGCTGGAATTTGGGGCTTATTTTCATAGTTTTGGCCCCCATTATGATCAGTTGTGATAACGTAACAATCACTAAAGTAACATGGAAGTATTAAGAAGGTATTGGTGCCAGTGTATTTAACAAGAAAAGCTTAATTGACATTAAAAATATCCTTTACACAATGTCCTGGCCAAGACAGGCAGCAGCACAATAAACATCAGTTGCAGACAAAAAACAAATGAAAAATCACAACATACCAAGAAATCAGGTCAGCATATCCTGGATCAGATAAAAGCAGATATTTAGTCAAAGCATCTGCAACCTGATGCACCGTCCTCCGTCTGCAGCAGACTCCAAGCTGCAGGGGCCTAAAAAAGCCCTTTTTCCTATTTCAAGATAAACTTTGAGGACAGATAGCAAGGCTAGTTCTTCTGAATATGTCACAAAGCAAAGATGCTAACTACCAGCATTTTTCAGCTGGATAAATGCGGATGGACAATGCAGGCCAGCCAACCTGAGCATACAGGTAGCAATAGTAAGTGAGGGCCTTGATACTTGTAATGAACCTCAATGCATCATGGTATACAGTACCTAAGGAGAGAAGGCATTGAGAAGATGCCTGCATATATAAAACATTTCCCCAGACAATCACAGGCATGAAAGAAGCAGCAACAAGTCTTCTTTTACATCAAAAGAAAAGCAAGACTTTATTTCTGTAATAAAAGCCTAGTCTGAGCTTCAGTGTCTTCACAAGTTGCTGAATGTGAGGATTAAAATAGACTCATCAATTAAGAGTCTTAGGTATTTATATGAAGACACAGACTCAATCACATTGCTCTGAAACAAAATGATAGATGGAAGGTTTAGTGGCTCTTTCTGTGAGTTTATGAACATCATAGGTTTTGATTGTCAGGATTCAAAATCAGCTCATTAATCGTGTGTTGTACAGTATCAAAAGCCTCTTGTAACTGACAAAGAGCCTGATACTGTAAAGTAAAAAACAGTGTCATCCGCATAAAATTGAAAATTTGCATTTGGCACATTTTGACTGATACTGTTTAAATAAACTGTGAATAAGAGTGGTCCTAAATCCAAACCCTGGGGCTCATTATCATGCAGTTAATTTGTCAGTGTCATTATAAAATTCATTAATTTTACATTACATTACATTAGTTACATTAATTTAGCCATGACAGGACACTAACTCAGTTTTTAGTGCCACAGCCATCCTGGCCTCATGTTGCCTGATTATTTTAATGAGCACAGTGAGGTATATAGATTACAAATTTGGGGAGCACAAAAAAAGACGAGAATGTGTATTGGATTGATTCTACACTTAAGTTATCAGAATGGGTAATATAAACCAGAATTACAAACAATAAAAAAAATACTTTATCTCCTACACACGCAGGTACACACACATACACACACACACACACACGCAGGTGAAGCCTCCACAAGGTCAGTAGAGGTCTTGTAAGGAATGAAAGGTCCATGTTTACCTAAGGAGAAAACATGTCAGCCAGCAAGTCAATTGTGCAGCTGAGTGGTTACATAAACCCTCTATTTTTCTTTCTCACAAAAGCCTCTTGCCGAGAATCATTTAGTATGCTTGTTTCTGGGAGCTGTGGGCAGTGTGTGACGAGGGCTAAGAGAGTGTGACCTGCCTGAGATGGAAACTGAGACCGGCAGAGAGGGAGCGAAGAGAGCTCTTGAGCCATCAGCAACGAGTACCTTCAGAGAGAAAGAGAGGGAGAGGGCAGAGAAGAGAGAGAGAGAGAAGAGGGAGACAGACAGGGAGGCCGGGGGATGATGGAGAGAGGGAGAGGGAGAGATACAGTGAGACAGAGAGATAAAAGACAGGAAGGGGGCAGTGAAAGAGAAATGCAGCAGGAGAAAGGCTGACAGAAAAAGAGGGACAGATGAGGCAGAGAGAGAGAGAGAAAGCAGCAGAGAAAGAGATAAAAACCAGAGTGGGGGCAGTGAAAGTTGGGGGGTGCAGCGAGAGAAGGGGCAGAGGAAGAAAGAAAAGCTCAGTGGTGGGCGAATTGCTCAGCAGTAACTCTGGCTCCAGCTTACGTAGAATTTAATATAAAAAAACACACACTGGCAGGGAATCATAAAAAATCATAGCCTCTAGCATTGTGATGCATTTTGCTGAATACATTTGGAGGAATAACAAAATCAGGACACACAGACTTATGCACGCACACACATAAAAACAACTCGTACCCCTGATGGCCCTGCTGACCGCTGGACACCCACTCTCTGACTCACCCTCAGGACCAGACCAGCCCACAGACTGACAAACAAATCTCTCCCTCTGTCTCCGCATATGTTTGGACTTGCTGTCATCCTCTTTACTTTATTATTAGCTTTGCTTCTACGTCACATTTTCCTTATTCAACGGGGTGTTTTGAGGATAATTCCAGTCTATTACATGTTGGGTCTCGTTTCTGCAGTTTCTGACAACATTTCTTTGGGTAATCATAAGGCTGTTAGGTTAAAAGTTTCTTTGCCCATGACATCATACATCAGTGCGCTGCCCAGATGGAGGGCAGACAACTGGAGGCAAAGACTACCAGCACTGCACAAATGCCTATGATTTGCGCTGTTTACAGCTGTTTCAATCCATCAGTGTTAATTTAGCAGCTATTTTAGTTTTAGTCTTTAGGCCAAAATACTTACTAGATTTAGTCATTTTCATCCTTCATAGTTTAGTTTAGTTTTAGTCGACAACAACTCAAAACAATGCAATCAAAGAAAAGTCAATACAGATTTCATTTAAACATTTTCTGCAACTATAAATAATTTCCTCACGCTTACAGCTTTGCATTTCTCCAGCAGAGTTTCAAGAATGATTTATGAGCGCATACTTACTGATCATCATTTTAAAAGCTAAAAATCTGAAACTTTGAGACCATAAATAACTATTAAAGACAGCTAGACAGCTAGGATTTGTACCTTGGTTAATTGTAAACTTTGACTCCGATCTTCATGTCAAGAAGCAGAAATATAACGTTATTTCTGCCTGAGTTCTTTCTTAACCTGCAACTTGTTAGTCTGGAGGTTTAAACTTGTATCCTGTCACAGAATCTTTGATTAAAACTTTACTTGTAGCTCTGTCAGAGAAAACTGCGCTGTTCATTTCCATTCAGACTTTTTATTTACTGCACAGCTACACTTATAGATACTCAAACCCCCTTCCTGCCTGTCATACAGCAATCAAATCATTTACCCTCCGAGTGGAGTCCTGTGGGGATCAGATGTGAAGTCCAGCAGTTGACGGCTGCTTGCTCTGCTGCGGTTCAGCAGCAAACAAGCAGAGCTAGCTGCTAACAGCCACCACTGCAACTAACAGACTCCACAAATTCATTTAACAGCTCCACAATCCACAGTCTCAGACACACACAGTAGACGCTGCTCCATTGTGAGTGTGTGCAGGCTAGAGAAACATCCCGATGACCCATCAGCACTCCGATCTAGTATAGCTCCTATGGCCTCAGAAAAGACACAGCAAGCATGGTTGTTCACCGCTTCCTAGTTAAAAACACTTTTCTACTACACTTCATAAAATCAGCTATCATTTAGTTCTTTCATCTTCTCATTTTGAACGTCCTACAATCCACCACTAATATTTTCATTTTTTTTTCATCACCAAAAATGAAACATACATTATGTCATAGTTTGCATGATCAAACTCTGTTTTTAGCTCGTCAACACCTCGTCTTCATCATTGAAAAAAAAGGTCATTGACCAACATTTTTCGGCATAATTTTCATTGACGAAATAAACACTGCAATCCATCAAGATGGGAAAAAACACGGGCCAAATTAAGCGGAGTCAACTAATGTCAAATGTTAACGTTACAGTGTTGTGTTAAACATTCCTTGAGCTTTTCACCAGACCTGTGGGGACGGTTGACCTAGTAGGTAGAAAATAGTTGCTAAACTTAGCTAAGGTTACCTCATAACTTTAGCCTGACAGCGGTGCATCCATGTACACAGTTGAAAGATAAAGCACTTTTGCTAATTGGCCAAAAACAAGACAGCAGTTGTTTCAG